TGTTGAGATTTCTCGTGTTTAACTCGTAAATATATTGGTTTGTGTTTAAAGACCCGGTTAGATGAAATTTCACAAAAGGTTAGATATCCACTTACCAAAAAGTAGTTTCTGTAAAGAGAAAGTAGAAATGCCATGTCTGCATAAAAGCGTAAACTGAATTATTAGTAAATCGATATTTACAACGTACTCTATCACATTTGAAAAACATGCGCAAAAATATTTTAATAAAATCTTCAATCGTCTTGCAATACACTCGGCGATTTTTTTTCACTCAATTTAGTCTATAATTTCAAGCTCGTTTAGTCTGAGAACGATTTCTAAAATACTCTAAAGAATATATTTACCCGTTAATCGGTACGCAGACGGGCAACCCGGCGTTAAAACTCGGTAGTTTGAGTTCAAAATAACCACCGAATAGTAAATACGAAGGACAGGCGTATATAAGTTTGCCAACACAAATTTGTGATGCTTACCATAGTTTCCACTGCTGATACACGATGACGCACACATGCACATATTGCCACGTATTTAGTGGACGGGATGTGTTCATAATTTGAATTATCGTTCTCGTATAAGCCCTTGTGACAAGCTATGTATACACGACACCGGCCAGTTTCTATGGCAACTAATGAGAAGACAAATACTCAATTCGAGAAGATGTCCGACAATCCATAAGTGCAGCACAGCTGATCCTGTACCAATTTCAGGTGTGACAGCTCACACGAGCTCAGAGCTAACGTGTCTCGTAGCCAGGTCGGTTACGCGTCAGTTGATGTGACTTGTTTACGCCTATTGGTTGGTATAGTGTTACGTCACAGATAAGGCGTAATCGCAACACAGGATCGCAACAAATGCGATCGATTTTTATTTTTGCATGAGATACGTGTTAAAATAACTATGGCTTTTAAAGTGAAATTTATTGCTGCAGTGGTCATTAAACTTACGAGCCCTTGGCAACATGAAGATTATGTTATAGTTGCATGAACAAACATTTTGGAGTGGTAGGAGATTTACCTGGATTGACTTTACGTAAACATCCTTATGATTGTGATGTTTGAAGAAAAAAAATACGCCCTCTGGCGGTTGTTTTGACACAATATCCGGGTACGAGGAGATTTCTGCTGCCCGGAGTATAATTGTTTTCATTATGAATGACAAGCATACATTGTACATCATGTTTATCGTAGCATTTCCGACAAAAAACAATCTGTCGCCTTTATTCTATTGTACACAATAGGCATTCACGACGTTAGTCCTTTTCCCCGGTCCAGTTTCCGAATGACTGGAAGCTCATACTACTATAGTAGTCCGAGCTGAAAGCGACTGCTTGCAAATTGGCAGTCATATTAATCGTGAGGTTGTCAAGTTCGTTATTCTGTGGATAACTTAAATGTGGCAGAGTGCACGTGGGTGTCAGAGAAAGCATGCAACGGACTGACAGACGATTGTCAAGATTAATATCGAGAGGGTATCAGTCAGTCCAAGTGCGACTGCGGAATGTAATTACTGCTGACAACTTTGAGATTCACTGATCCAATGTTTTTGACAATGTCAACATCAGTCAAATCAACAATACGCCCTGATAACTACATCGTGTTCTATGTTGGTTTGCCTAAGTGGAAGTATCACGTGATACTACTGTGGGTTCAAGCTTATCATAGCGCATTTGAATATAACGAACACATATATCACAGTCCCTCTATAGACCGTCCTTACACATTATATATATTAATTTAAATATCTAACAATTATTACAATGTATATATACATGTATTCTTTGTATTTTTTCTAATGTTATGATACAAAGGTTTATTTGAGGCGAATGGTTTATTGATTGTCGAAATAGAACATAAATTATGCAAATAAGGTAGGTAAGTGACGTATTGGGACCGAACAGTAAATGGCGCAATATAATTTAAATATAAATGAATAAAAAGCCCAGAAATTTCAAAACCGTGACAAACGTATAAAACCTAAATTATGTTTTTTCATCATGATTGAAACAGAAATCCTAGTTAAGACCGCGTGCGACCAAATTCTATGATCCGTATCAGGTATAGACAACATAATCCAATCACCTTTGACACTTTGTAATTACCATGTAGAACATAAATTATAGATAAACAATATATTTTAAAAAATCGTGCTTCTTCCGGTCTTTCCAATGTATCCTCATTGATGATGTTTTTATTCTTTGTCAATGTCATTAACAAAGCCGTGTTTGTGTTGAAGTAGAATATGTTGATATTTTAGCGACGCTAAAATGAAGCGGGTCCATTCTTATAATTAGTTAGGAGTAATATCCTTCAATTTTAGTTGTTAAAATACAAATAGTTTAATTTTACAATTGAATAATTAAATTGGATTATCAGCGATGGCAATATATGTAAAATTTATCATATTTTTTTTCAAATGTTGACCTAAATGACACATTTCACACGCCAGATGTAACACGTCGAGCCACTCAGCCTGCGTGAATAGCCAGCATGGGTGACCTATGACCCCTATATTAATTTTAAGGACTTCGGCGGAGTGATACATGTAATTGTTATAGTTGAATTATTGTTATTATTTTACCTTGAGTACATTAAGAATAATCTTAAGTTACCCATAATGCCACTTTAATTTGATGTAAATATACAGATAAAGCATTTTATTTCACCTGAAGTTATTAAAAAAAATATTATAACGGACAAAATAGTTGTTAAGATTACTGCTATATTGTAGGTCAGTTAGAATTGCACGGTTTTGAAACTGAACAGCCCCTCTCTCCACCAGACGTACATTAAAACTTGAAATGTCCAAATTGTTTCTCAGTTCAAGCTCGGATAAATTTTAATCAGATTTCTCTACAATGTTAGCGAAGGCAGTTCAACTTACACGTCTCTTGATTTTTTTTCAATAAAACAGAAAGCCAAGAGACTTTATGCAAATCTAAGTTGAACTGCAATCGCTAACGTTGTAGAGAAATCTTAATACAATTTATTCTAGCTAGAACTTCATTTTATATGTGTTTTTTTTCATTTTCCAGGCTTTCATGATCACCAATACTAGCAAATAAATAATAGGTTAAAATGAAATAAAATATATGAAAACAATTAATCATTAAATACACGTTTTAATTTCAGTTTGTTATATATACGTTGTATTCATTGAATAACCCTCAAATTTTCAATAATTAATGTTTATTTCAAATTAAACACAACATCCGTTATTATGAATTTAAGATACGATTTGACCGACGGGACAGCTGTGTTGATGATGTCGGAATCTGATAACACAATTGTTTTAAACCCGTGTTTTGCTGCATTCCATTATTTCATATATATATATAAGATGTTCATTCGTTTGAACATATATCCTCTTTTTTAGGGTCTGTGGTTTGAGAGACTTGATATCCACGAGTTTTGTCACAAGCCGCTTTGCTCAGGGAATGGCCTTCCAAACAAACGCTCCTTGACAAGAAAAGCGCCACCACATGAGGGCACAGAAGGAAAAAAGTCTTACGTTCTGCACATGCGCAGATTGTACACATTTTTCATCATGGCGGCTTGAAGTTGTTTGCAAACAAATTGCAGCTGATCATCGCAAATATTTTGAGGATTTGATTTGTCTCCGGTCAGAAATATCACTAATTAACAACCACGAGCTATTTATGAATATACACATATTATGAGTAAGGTAAGGCGTTGACTAATAATCGCGATTTGGAAAATTATACAGGATTGCACGGAAGTGAATCAGGGTCGATCGTTGGAGTCGATGAATGGTATGGCGTCCCTTGCAACGGTCATTGGACACAAGCCAAAATCAAGGAACATTTAAAATAAATCTCTATTTTGGTGCATTTAAGCTAACGCATTTTCATTACTCTTTTCATTTTAATCTTAAATATATTTATTTTGATATTGCAGTCAGCTACGTTTCCAGGATTGGGTGGTCGGAGGAGCGGGCGAGGTATATGTTAAATAGTATTGTTATTTAATTTCACGGTTTTAAAAGGAATGTCTTACAATTCTAGATGCAAAACATATCTATGTGATTTATTAGGTAGGGTTGGGACTCGGTGATGTTTTCCGTTGTGTACATAATGCTATTAATTTAAGCCGTATTCTCCCCAGGAATAACTAAACCCACTCACCAAATAACCATATACCCTAAATATATTTGTTAGGGTCTATGAAATAACATAAATTTTCCATCAATTAATGTTGATTTCTTTGATAGCATTGACTACCTGGTTAACTTTGTGTTTATTATTATTATCACTCTTGCAGCCAGAGACCAGACTTCTTTGGACGATGTTCTTGGCGATTTACTCGGAAGTGATGGTGAGTACACTGGTTAAAGAATTGACAGTATCAATTATAATATGTCTAGTATTTGATAACATGAGACATTCCCTGGGTTAAAACCAGGACAGTAGTACAAAAAATGCTCTACATGTCTTTGCTTAAACTAGATGACACTCCATACATTTTGAGAAATTCTGCCCTGCAGGTTTGAGCATGTTTAGTTCCATTACAACTTGTCATTGTTTCACAGTTTAGTACATAATAATGTCATCAACACTGTTCTAATGATTAATTAATTGCTAATCATGTCTGCCTTTCACCTTAATAAAGAACAGTCCATTTAACAAATAATGTTTTTGTTACAATAGATGATACTCCAACCACAAAGAAGAAGTTTGGATTTCAAAGCAGTCCAAAGCCTCGAAGGTAGATTTGTTTGATGTCAGCTTATTACTTAGATTGAATGAATGAATGAATGAATGAATGAAGTTTATTTCACTATAAACATATATACATATAATAATATTAAAATAAATGTGATATATAAACAGATGAGTAAATAAAATTAAGTAAATAAGTCTATAATTTGAATTTTAGATATATATATTTAGATGTTTATATAAATTGTTTATAGTGAGGATCATGGAAATAGTTCCCTAGAACTAGTCTAGTCCATGACCCTTATAAAGAATGAACAAAATAAACAATAAATAATAATATTAATAAGTCATAGACAGGTACATAGTTGTACATTTAAATAATTGAATGGATTAAAAATCTTAAATTAACAAAAGAGATAAAAGAAAATAAACTGATTGAAGCATTTTTGTCAATTACTTGGTGAAAAACTTAATTATACAAAGTCAGAATAGTAACAATAAACATTATATATATACAAAAAAACATATATGAAATGAAATTATAGTAGACATTTCGTCGTTTCACTGACTTAGGAGAGCATTTTTTAATTTGGATTTAAATGTGTGTCTGTTCATTTCATTTTTGATTGTGCTAGGAAGGGAATTCCAATGGCGTGTTGCAGTAAATTTAATTGTTTTTTGGCATAAAGTTAGATTCATTTTGGGAATATAAAAACTATCAGCCATTGCTAAACGTGTTGCATAATTGTGGGGTATTGGGTCCAGATAATGATTTATTGTATGTGCAAAATGACAATTTTTTAGATCAAAAACAAATAGACATGTTTAAGTTTACATAACTTGTAAACATCTAATATTCTTTGTTCCCTTTTCTGTTCTACAATTCATATTTGTTGTTTTTATTTTATTTCCTTTTTTTCAGAGTTGATGATGATCCTGACTTCTATAGTAACTTAGCAGCTGAACTTGGTGAAAGTGAGCTGGTAAGTGTCGAGTAATAATAATATTTACATAATGTATCTCGGACAAGAATTACGAATAATTCAAAATGGACAACTTTTATAGCACCTAGCCGCCAAACTATTTGGTTGTATTTATATTTTGAATTAAAAAAAAAAGTTGTATGACAGCAGATTCATAATAATAATAACATTATAATAATTATTATTATTATTTGGTGAAGATTTAGTCAGCATTTTTATTCAAGATTGATTTGATGTGAACTTCAATTTGAAATGAATGTTTTATTAACCATGTTTATAGCAAAATACAAAGTCGTTGTTCCTGTTTTGTTCATAACCTCTTTTTTTTCTTAACAGTCTGAAGTCTCAGATGCAGATATGACTGATGTGAACAAAGTATTACATGTAAGAAACAATAATTTCTGTCGAAATTATGCTAATAACACCATTTTATTTGTACTGCCAGTGCTCAGATGAATCCAGATCAATCTACAAAAATGTCTTAAAACACATTTGGGTACACATTGATTTCATGTAGTCTCTACATTTAGCAGGACCATTTAATTGCTGTAAATAGTTCTAGAAAAAAGGGATAACGTCTAACAGTCAAGGAGGAGTCACACAAACACACACATAAATTGTAATAATATAAATATAATTTTTTTGTCCTTCCATCTAGGATATGGGTGACATGGATGATGATCTACTTGGTTCTTTGAAGAGAAAATCTAAACCTTCCAAGGCAGAGCCTGAAAAGCAACCACCACCAACACGAAGAGGGAAAGATGCGGTAATTAGTAAGCCAGATACAAAAGGTTTGCAAAATTCCATATCAATTAAGGTAGAAGCCTACTCATAAATTAAAAAGGCAATATAAGGATATTGACCTAAAAAAAGGTGAGGGTCACCAGCCTGTTTTTCGAGTAATTAATGGTTGCATTTTAGTGGAAAGTCGCCATTTTGACACTATTATAACACTTTACCACAGGTTCCTATGGCAAAGATATTATGCATTATCTCAAAATCTAGCCTGGTGACATAGGCTGAAAAAATCATATATTGTTAATGAAGGAGTACTTTTTGTTATTCTGAATTATTTTAAAAATCTGGTTTTTAAAAAGTGTCAAAAATGCAATTTTTCTTTTAACACTGTGTTCTGTGGAATTGTTCTAAAAATAGCAATTTTTAAGAAAAATTAGAACACGTTTCTCAAAAAGCATAACTGTAACACACAAAATAATGCTATTTCATTGTACCATGGGACATCAGCTTCATGATTGTACATAATAAACTAATGAACATTGTCATGCGATTTATGACCAATTTTGTCAAAAATTATGACTAGGCTTCGACCTTAAGACAGAGAAGGTGAAGATTTTCAGTCAGTTTACTACTCTGCGGTCACCCTTACCAACCAAAAACAAATAAGTAGAATAAAAAAAACATTGAATACTTTTCTCTTCACCTTGTTTTTATCTTTGACAGACATTGATGATGAACTTTCTAAGTTGTTGAACCAGTCATTAAAAGACAATTCCCAACCGAAATCATCTCAGAGCAAACCTAGGTATGATCTTAGCAAGCAAAGAAAGTCCATTGATTACACATGTAAGTATAAGTTGTCACTTACACCTTGTTTGCTCTATTAGTAGCACATATTATGCTTACATAAATTGTTTAGTGTTCCAGAAATCACTAAATTTTGCTCCAATGAAACACCTTGTCTATTACTTAGCCCAGCTGTATGTATACTGACTAGCTTGATTTAATGTTGTAACTTCATTAGCATGAGCTGTGTTTAAAATCCAATATGGCAATTTCATCTTCACTGCGTAACACAAACATAAATAATAACATGTTGAATGTGTTTGGATTTTTGAGTCTTAAATGTGGAGTTTAATTTGGTTTTAATCATTGACAACTGTTAAGTAAAAGTGTTAAGTAAAACGTCTGCATATTGGTTTTTACTCAAATACTTGATTTACATCACAGTATTTTTTTTTTAAATATATGCAGCCCTGCCAGTAGATGAAGAAGATCCTCTCAAGGGGTTGATTAGTGACGATGAAGATGATGAGAAGAGTGAGACTAAAAAAGCTGCTGAGTCCACGCCTTCAGATACTACATATGAATTGCCAGTTCAAAGTAGGTCATAAGCCATAGTACAAGTATTTGCTTTTTTCATTTAATTTCAGTTTGAATATCCATCCTCAGGTGCTCTACTTTTCAGAAGCTATTCTTACTTATTCTACCAAAGCAAGGAGCATTTCATATTATTTTAGGACATGTATATGAGATACTAAAAATTTAACTGACTGTATATGAGATGTGACCTGACCTGTACTGCCTGAGTGCATACTTTGCGGTATTCTTGTGATAATCTTATTATTATACATCTTTTTCCTGTTTGTAGTAATAATTTATAGCCCAAAATAAAAAAACAAAAATCTGTTTGCTCTGTGTGAATATTTGTATGAGTGAATTGTTCTATCACACTGTAATGCTTCTGTGTCTGATATAACCAGAGAAAAGTGTTAGAATATGAAGTTGGTGACTAAATTTACCTTGTTTAAAGGAATATTTAAATGTTCAAATGAGTGCTAATATATTTTAGAATGAGTGCTGATTTGTTTATTTATTTATTCAAAGATATGGCTCACTTCAAATAAGATAAGATAAGATTACGTTGCATAATGTCTATTCAAATAAAAATACAGCTTGGTGCTATAATACAGCTTTTTACCAAATGGCAAATTCTATTGTTTTTGGTGGTAGATGTTTAATAATGAGTGTTACATCCCTCTTTCATTTTTAATGTAGCAGAGAAACCTAAAGTTACTAAAGTTCCAAAGAAAAGAAAAGATGATATTGACCTTGGGGATGACATAAATGTACTGGATGCGCTAGGTTTTGATGACAGTCCACGTCCAGGTATGTGTCTGATTGTAAAAATGAAGAATGACTTTCTGAAAAAGTACTTTTCGCTTCAACTGCAATCAGTTGGTAGTTGAATTTCGAATATAGTACGGTAGTCTAAAATGAATATGAAGTGGAAAAGAAAATTCATTTTTCAGTGACAACAGCGGTATTTTATTGATGTGTTTTGAACCATTGGCAAGGAAAACTTTCTTGGATAAACTATTTTGCTAGATTTTATTTCAGCTGCTTCACCCATCCAATGGAAATGAATAATGTACTACAAAAATAAAATAGGCAAAAAAAACTACATTTATTCACAAATTTTCAAAATGTTTGTTGTGGCTTAGTAATACCGCAGTATTCTCGGGGGCGGACATCCGGGCATTTTCATCGCATGGCAACTATCACGGTGAAAACAAAGGCCAAAAACTCTCATCAGAAAACGGTACTTTGGAATGGTTGTTGAGATTCCCTGAACAGTGTAAAAAGATTACCTTTGTGTGTGTAACACATATAAATTTGATTGTTCAGGATTACTTCAAAGTTGAGTTCCTGTTGTTTTCTCGAATTTTCACCGGGCTCTTTGCTCTGCGTTCTGCGTTCCTCCAGCAGCGCGTGCAGAACCTGTAGAAATGCGTGGTACAGTGGTACGCGTCTTAGCAACGTGGAACGTCTTTTGACGTTGCTCCGCCCCGAGGACAGGACAGCCATTATGTAGCACAATGCTATGAGTGCTTGATGTAATAAACCGTACTTGTACACACAGGGAAAAAAGTGGGCAAAGACGACGATGAAATATTGAAAGCTAAGTCTAAAGTAAATGAGTTATTTGGAAGTAGACCAAGCAGTGCCAGTAAATCATTAGAAAGACCACCAACGGGAGAACGCAGGCAATTTGTACTTGATAAGAAATATACTAAGCCCAAACCCGGTAAGACATTTCATCCTTTTTACATTTTGGATAGGGAGATAGGAACAATGGCCATAAATGACAGAATGTTGTTGTGTTCAGAATGGACGGTGCTAAATAGTTAGAATGCAGAATATTTTAAAAAGCAATGACAGTTCTTTATACATTGCTGAGTGAAAGATTTCATCACGAAAATGACAAAGAGCAAATAAAAAGTAGGGGAACCTGAACCTTTTTCTATGAAAACAATGACCTTGGACTATACCATTAAGTCCTACTCATTTTTAATTGAATTTTTACAAAATTCATATTTCAAAAACTAGTTTCGGTACCCACATTTTTCCCCCCAGACTTTCAAAATGACCAATCACATGAAATAATTTAGCAACATTTCAGGAAATATATATATTTTCTTATTTACGATTATACAAGCTGTATTTACCGTACAAAAACAACTACACTGGCTTAATATCTTTAAATAAATATATTTTTGACAGATGCCAAAGAACAAAAACCAGAGGACTACACATTTGGTGGTTACATGCCATCATCTGTGACAACTCCTCCAACATCAAGAGCAGCTACGCCGGGATCAAGAGGTGGAACAGCTGGTTCCAGAAGATCTGTCAGGTACTGTGAACAAAGATTTTTACAACTTCACCTGTATGTGTGTTACGTCTTCTCAAAATATTTTTATTATATTAGCATTCATTCATATTGCATTCAAATCAGATCACTAGTTATTTCATGCAAATTGATGATACTGCCAATCACACTGATATGCATATTGGATGGTACATTTATCATTATTACTCCATTACTGTACAGTCTGTAACTACATTGGCCATCATAATTTTATCTGGATTCAAGTGGAGAAAAAGGATATATAATTGTGTCTGTGATTACTCTGGAAGCTGGATTCCAGACTGTGTATTTTTTCTGTTGTTATTATGTAGTTCTAATAATTATTCACAAATGCACACGCTAGTATTAATTTGAGGTTTGAGGTAAAAATGTACTTCAGTGTGTTGTTGCTCTATAATAAACAATGGATGTGTCACATACTCAACTCATCTGTCTAGTTTCCAACTACAGCCATGCTAATATAAGTTGTATTTCCATCTTTTGCTTCTTGTTTCCGATGATTTTGAAAGCATTCTTCATCTTAAGGTTAAATTACTACAGTGTTATATCTGGGTGTTTGAGGCTTCTATTAGGTCAGTCTACTTGTGTATCCATGTAATAATTTCTTGTTGTCTGCTGTACAGTGGTACTGTAGTAGTAGTAGTATTACAAATGTACTTTCTACATGTAGCATAGAATTTACATTCTGTAATTGTGAAAGTTTCTTTTTTTCATGATATATACCTCTGTGTGATATAAGATTAATTACTATGAACAGTTTATTGAAGTGTTTTAATTCTTGATTATTACTGAATTATCATTCATGAATTAAGAAGTTTATGATGTAGGTATATACCGGGGGGGGGGGGGGGGGTATATAAGAATCAGAATTCTATAGCTGCAGTTCTGTAATTCACTTGGTTTGGCTGTAAGCTGCTGCACTTTCATTTGTTATCATCAGTAGGGTTATTTTGTCAACCATGGGTTGATTACAAAACTAGGGAGCGACAAAAAAAAACTCCTACAATGGTCACCTTATAATGGATGAATAACCCCTACTGTTTTACAAGAAACAAAAGTATAACAAACTATGTGAAAAATGAGAGCTACAGACCTGTTGTGTCTGATAAAAATGAACCAATCTTGATTGCGAAGTGGTCCACTGTATTCAGTGATGTGGAAATCACAGTAATTAATATGTAAATTGAGATGAATATAGCACAGGCTGTTGATAAACCTATATTTAAGATCATAAAGTTTTGTGCAGTTTGTAGTAGCTATACTATAATGCCTATCTATAAACATTCTGAAATACATCTTTAGTGCTACAAATAAATTCATTTGCCATTGATAAATTGGTTTATGTTTTCTTTCTTTTCCAGATTTGCAGATAGCGATAGTGATGAAGGTGGATCAAAAAATAGACTATCAGCATCATTGCCAATAGATTCTCACAGGCAGTCTGATAGGTTGGGAATTTCTGGGTCCCCACCCAAATCAGACAGCACTTCTGATTGGCTGGGATTGAGTACAGGAAATAAAGACCCTGAGCCAATCAAACCCAAGGTCAATAACACACCAATGATTACCTCAACACCTAAGAGCAGTGGCAAGACATCCAGTGCTGATTATTTAGGCCTTGGAGATGACATTGATGTAGACTCTCTTGCACAGTAAGTTTGATTTTTATACTTAATTGTTCAAGTACTGTAAAATATTTTATTTTTGCTGGATTAAATTTTCGCTGAAAATCCTTTTTTGAAAGTTCTGTATGGAATTTATTTTCACTGATTTTTGATGAGTTGAATGTGAAATATAGAAAAATAATCCCTTCAGCGAAAATGGCGAAAATAAATTCCTAGCCAAAATATTCTAAGTCCACATACATCTTCTTGAAATTTGGTATGAGTGATGGTCTTTCTGTTTTTGTCAATGCATATATTATTTTAGAGTGATGAATATGATTAAAATTAAATGTTGGTATGGATGATAGTAATTTGCAGAATAGTACATTGTATATTATAGAGTTGTGTAAACTTATACCTCTCCATGTTTTAATTCAATTCTCATCACCTTCATACTCTGTGTGTATTGGTTCTCGAATGCAATGCTGGGGGATCTGCTATCTAGGATAGTTTTCTTGTTCATGAATGGTAGTATTTTTGTTAAATATCTTTTAATTATTTTTGTGCCTACCTTTACCAAATAAAAACTTGTTTTCATCCTGTTTCATTTAACATGTTCATTCCATTAACCTTAAAGTAGCAACTGGGGTAAAACAGCTTAAAATTGATCTTTGATTCAGACATTCTCTAGATAGCATACATACATGGCTTTTGACAATCCATTTTCAGTAGCAAGTCTGTAAATATTTGTAATTAAGATGTTCCCTAGATAAACATAGGTATGCATATGCACTATCGTATTCACCTAAGTCTAAGCTTTCACATGATATCGGTATAAACATGTTTTAAACCTGTTTTTTATCTCTTATATATTCCATGTTTTAAATTCATTTTCTATCAGAATAGCATTCCCTCAAGGTGCAGGACAATTCAGGAGAATTTTTCACAATGCATATTTAGTAATGACCTTGTTTGTTTTTCAGACCACAGTTAACTCCACCAAAACGTGCCACCACTCCTGATGAGAGTGGACTTGACTTATTTTCAACTCCTGACAAAAGAGACACAACGTAAGTTGCTAAATATTTGTAAATCAAGTTACAATGAATAATTCCTTATTTTTTTATATTCATATCTATTGCCTGGAGACTTATTTGATTTCAAAATGAAATAATATTACATTATATTACAACTTATTCCTTTAACATGTTTTACGTTAGAGAAGCAATATTCAAATTTATGCAAATTGTGCACCTGCAAAATATTTAGCATATTATCATCAATTATGTTTGCACGTGGAATGTATATCACCAGTAGTACATTGAAAAAAAATTCTCTTCCCTCTCAATATTAATTTCTTTTGACCACCAAGTAAAAGAGATTTATTCTATTATTAATTTTGATTCGTCAAAATGAAAACACCTGGCTAAGATCCAGCGGGATCCAGAATGAACTGGATTAGCCTGCAGTTGCATAATTTGCATAAAATTAAAGCCTTTCAGTTTTCTGACAACATATCATGTTCCACCAGCAATTTCAAGCCTTTGTACTAGTATCACGCATTGGCCAAATAAAACAGAAATGTTGAACTTCCGTGTGAACTGACTTGGTTTTTTTTGCATTTAAAAAAAATAGAATGTTCTATCTATCACTGCCTTCAAAATTGTTTTCATTTTTTTCATGACACTTATAACACATTTCTGCTACAATTCAACTCACTGGGTTTTCTGACATGTCATCGTAAGTTACTTATTTTACCATGGTGTTTATATGTATCTCAGTTAATTTCAGTTCCATACTTTATGTATTGTTTTCAATCTGCAAGCACTAGTTTTAGCAGATTACATATTTTTGCATGTCCGTGTCTACTGTATTTGCTCTACTAGAAGCACTTCTCATACAGAATCACATATGAATCAAACATTGCATTAATTGTATACTGAGTTGTTAAAATGTTATATATTTTAAACAGAGAATTAGCTCTGTCATTTATGTAAGCACATGTGCTACTTATCGACCAATTACAGTAATACCTTTATTTCTAGTGGTGCCCATATTGGTACTTGTGGTGTGTTTGTATTCTAGTTGTTGTCTTTGTATTTATATGCATGTTATGTTTCCCGTTGTTCTAGTAAAATGCATGTAATGTCTTTTTGCATGCTGTATTTAATTGCAGTTTTCTTCTAATGTCCTGTGTTTATCTGCATGCAGTATTAATTAAATGTTTCTAAATTGTTGTTCACTGTCATTGCAATATGGCAGTAATATGATAGTACACTGAGGGAAATGTCTCTGTTGCACATACCATTTGTTAGTGTGCAGTTTAATTACACAGTACAGCATTCTTTTTAAACAAGTATATAAATGTACGCCACCATCCTCTTTGCATGGAAGTGAATGTTGACTTATTGTCTACTACTTCAATAAAATATGAATATCAGATATGCTGTATGAAATATGAAATAATATGAGCAAACTTAGACAAATTATAATTATCTGATCGGAACAGATTTGAGAGGTTATTTTTATCTAGACTACTTAAATTTCTGTCATGCATTGCTAACCTATGAAGTATGTTCAGTGTTGGAAGTATGCTTATACACAGTGATATAGAACATAGAAGTACAATAGTCATCATACAAGAAGAGAGAAAGGGGTTTAAAGACACAAAATCCACATGAGGCAGGCTTTCATTATAGTTCAGTCTTCACACGAATAGTTTTTTATTGAATTATGTTTTGACAAGTCGGATTTGATTCATTGTTTAAAAACTCACATAATTCAGTGGCTTAATGCCCTAGAATACTGGAAAATCAATCACTGCAGAATCTATGGGATTTGTTGGTCATTTCCAACTATTAGAAAAAAATCTTTTCAGACTCAGAATACCGTAACAGTTACATTTGGTATATTTGGTACTTATGTCAAGGACTTTCAAAAAAATATAACCAAAAATACAGCACAAAGACAGAAATTTTAATTTGTGGCTTAGTTCTTCTACAATGGTAGTACTATGGTGTTATAACTGATGCCTGTTTTTATTATCTCCTGAACGTAGATCCCCATTTCCATGGGACTCGTCTCAACACAGAATTAGAACTCCAGATTACATGGAAACTACAGGTAAGGAAAACATTTGACATCTTTCACATAGGAAATGGAAAATAATGTGTTTTTGGTTCAAAATTGATAAAAGAAATTATAGAAAAATACATATGTGTAAAATGTTGCAACAACAAATAAAGTGTACTTATGCATTTTTAAAAATTTCTAATACTTAATTTGTTCATAAGACGAAGCCACCACTGTGAAAAGTCCTCGCACTGCGGCCATGGCAGAGCAGTTGGCACAAATCAATCAGTTTGAGGATGATCCTCCCAAAAGACGCCCACCTGTAGATGGAGGTAAAAAAGAACCAAAGTGGAGACAAGAGCTGAAACAAAAACAACAGCAACAGCAACCAAGGCAACAGCAGAGATCACCACCCAGGGACATCCCACCTAGCTCTCCACAGCTCCCATCCAGTTCATTCACTGCTCCAACTATTACAGATTTCTCAAGAAAACAGGTATACTTTCTGTGCATGTGCTGTCAAGTTCAAGTTCTCCAATTTGCTAGTACAGTTGGTACCAGTAAGCTTGATGCACATCAATTTATTTTTTTGATCTGGTTCAAAATTGGTGACTGGCAGCTATTTTGATTTAAAGAATGTAGTTCCAGATTCATATATTTGACATGCCTTGACTGATCAAGTTCAGACTTTACACATACATGAGACAAACACATTATGCATTTTTGTTTTTGCTAAAATGGCTGACTAGGATCATCTTGTTTAAACAATTGCAGTCTCATACATGCATAGACCAATTAAGTTAAAACTTCACACATTGGTTCATTTCCTTTTATCCAAGGAGGAAATAAGACAACAACAAGAAAAGTTAAAAATAATGCAACAACAGCAACAAGTTGAAAAGGAACTATTTATACAAGAACAACAGAGAAGACAGGAAGAAGAACATCGGCGACTACAAGAACAACTCATCAATACCAAGGTACACTAATATTTCTATTGTGGTTCAGTGATATATCTAATTCTATTTCACTTCATGGTAGATCAATGCCTTTAAATAGGTGTGTGGCAATAATACATGCATGATATCACATATATCATAACTAATTTATTATACTGAGGCATATACATGTATACATGTATTATTTCCCCAATTTTTTTTATTAAATAGGTAAACTGCTGGCCATTTTTTTTGCCAAAAATACTTTTTTTTGTTCATTTTTGCATATAATTTGGAAATACTGAGTTTCCTCAGATTTGGTACAGAGGCAGTATATTATTCCACAAAGGTGCAAGTTGATTTTTGCCAAGATTCTATGCAATATGGATGATTAACAGCCATTTTGTTGTCGAAAATCAATTTTTTTTTTTTCACAATTCTGCTTATATCTCAAATTGTTACCGTACTGTCTAAGGGAGAACGTCAAAAGATCGATGTCGGATAAAAAACTTATTTGCTTTAGTTTGGGGGTGGGGGGTTTGACTTTAAAAAGTTTCCATCCTACAAAAACGATTTTATTTTTTAATGAAGTCAAAAAAATCATAGAGTATTTGTAGTTCGTTTTTTTTCTATCCAATCATGGAAAAAAATAACAGAAAATGAAAAAAAAAACATCCAAGACGAGAAAATGGTTTTGTCCGAGTGTAAATATGTGCGTCCAATGAGGTCAATTTCAGAGCATGTACCTAGAACCAACTGCTATGCCATACTACTGTCCGATTGTCAATTTGTATTTAATGGTGAATGTAGTCTGACGATGTGATCAATATTTATCAATTAAGTTTCAGTGGGGGGTAGGGGGGTTGGGGAAAAAACTAAAGGAATTAAGTTTTTTATTCTACATTGAACTTTTGATGTTGTCCCTAATTATGTCCAAACTTGGTTTACAGATGATTGTGTTCTAGCAAATCAATGAAAGTTGATTATGTTACAATTTAAGATGGTCGCCTGATAGCCATTTTGTTTGACAAAAATCGGCAGTTTTTGCCTGTTTTCACACATTTCGGTCTAAATCTCATATTCACACAGTTCAATTAGGTCCAACCTTGGTTCACAAGCAATTTTATTTGTGTTACCGGTACTGTCACCTATTTTGTTTGACCAAAATCTTCACAATTCCTTAAATTCTGTCTTACATTTTTGTTGTCTGGTTAGGTTCAACTTGATGTACAGGTAAATGTGTTTTAGCACATCAATGAAATTTGATCTGTGTAACAATCTAATCAAAGATGGTTGACTGCCGGCCTTTGTTTCATAAAAATACACTAAAGTTCTCATTTTTTGGACATGCTGATTTGTTATAACCTAGGTATGATGGTTTTATATGGGTGCCTGATGTATTTCCTATTTTTTTTTCATTTTGACTAAAAGTGGCTGGCTGGGCTACCACTTTATTTCATGATTTACATAATTGAAGTCATTCCTCAGACATGCTTTGAGACCAATTTATTTAAAAATTGATGATTTCACTTGATAAAAAAAGAGCAAATAAATGCTGACGTTTCATTTGTCATATATTAAACTACAAGAACAGAGGAAGCTGTGACATACTCAATGGCTTGTTTTTTCATATTTTTCAATTAAAAAAACCTGACATAATTAAAATTGCTAAATGAGTGAATAGAGGATACATGCCCCTGCTTATAGCATGCAAAAGGTTTCAGCACAAAGTAAATTGTCTATATGTCCAGGTGCTTTTTATTTTAGTGTATAGCTTGCACATGTACCTGTTCAGCCTAAAATTTTGGACTACTACATTTCAAATTTTTGTATTGTGAAAAAAAATAACAAAAAAACTGAGTTGAGTGTTGAATGTATTTTTGTTTTTGAAATACGTTGATATGATTTGTGTGTATATATCAGTATATGTAGTAGTACATGGACTGAACTCTTTAACCTTGAACTTCCAGATGCAGTCCTCCATTCCTCAAATGACAATGTTAGATAGTTCTGATATGTCTCTGAGTATCGCAATGCAAAACCAGGTGAGTCCTTTCATAATTATTTAAAACCATTCATTCATTCATTCATTGAATATTCATTCATTCATTCATTCATTCATTCATTCATTCATTCATTCATTCATTCACTCACTCACTCACTATTGTTCATTTTTCTTCAGATTCGTAAATTAGAACTTGAAAAGAAATATTTGGAAGAGACTTTGGAAAGTTGTCAGAAACGTTTCTATGAAGATCTACAGACAATGGAAATGACACACAGGTATGAACACTATTATTAATAATTACTGCTCTCATGCTATACCTCTACACATTACTGTCACTATCTCATATTACTAGCACCACCTTATATTACCTAGCACCACCTCATATTACCAAAAACAACCTAATATTACCTAGCAGTACCTATTACTACCTATCCTACCCCATATTTATTACCTTGCACTACCATATATTAACTATCATTACTGTATATTACCTACCACTACCATATATTACCTACCACTACCTTATATTACCTACCACTACCTTATATTACCTACCACTACCGTATACTACCAACCACTACCTTATATTACCTTCCACTACCTTATATTACCTACCACTACCTTATATTACCTTTCACTACCTTAATATTACCTACCGCTACCTTATATTATCTAGCACTACCTTATATTACCTACCACTACCTTATATTACCTTCCACTACATTATATTACCTTCCACTACCTTATATTACCTTCCACTACCTTATATTACCTACCACTACCTTATATTACCTTCCACTACCTTATATTACCTACCACTACCTTATACCACCTACCACTACCTTATATTACCTACCACTATAGTTAAAATCATCGCCAGCTACAACAACATCTTTTTTTCAATCCATATGTTAAACTATAAAAGCTATCTAAACCAACTTGTGTACAAACAAATTCTACTCAATTTTCAGAAATCGTCTTAAGATAGTAGAAGAGGCTTCTGAGAGGAGAGAACAGAGACTAAAACAAGAAAATGATGAAATAGCTATGCAGAGTCTGGCCAAGTTGAAGATTTTGGAACAGCAAAAAACTGACTTGATAAGCTCGCATCACAATAAAATTATGGAATATGAAGACCAGAAACTGACAGAGATTGGTAAACTGAAGGCTTTACACAGGTCAGTCAGATTGGTAAACTGAACTCTGTAACTGAAATGATGTTATGTAAAAGTATTTTAACTTTCACAAAATACACTTAATAATAATAATATCCATTTGGTTTGAAACTAACAAAGAATTCCTAGTTTTTCGTATTTGCTCTATTAGAAGCAACATCACCAATAGAAGCATGTATAAACAGTTGTTGTCTACTGGATTATTAGTCCCCGTTCGGACGAAGTCCGAAAACAGGGACTTATAATTCGGTGTCCGTATGTCCGTTCGTCCGTGCGTCCGTCCGAAGTCATATCTCAGAATCCCTTGGACCGATCCCGTTCATTCTTTGCATGTGCCTAGTACTTTATGTGGGACATATGCACATGCAGTGGTTTAGCGATTCGATTCAAAATGGCCGACTGGCAGCCATCTTGTTTTTTGAAAATGTTGTATTTTGGACATGCTTTGTCAGTTTTCATTCAAACTTGGTACATAAATTATACATGTTTGGATACATGTCCATGATGATTTATTTCACAATTGGATCAAAGATGGCCGACTAGCAGCCATCTTGTTTTTTGAAAATGTCATATTTTGGACATGCTTTGTCAGTTTTCATTCAAATTTAGTACATAGATCATACATGTTAGGATACATGTCCCCGACCGTCCGTGAGTTCCTGAGTCTGTCCGTCCGACCGTCCGTGTGTCCGTATGTCCGTGCGTCAGTCTATCCAATGTCATATTTCAGAATCCTGTGGACCGATTCCGTTCATTCTTTGCATGTGCCTAG